TTTAGGAATTAGGGTTGGTTTGTTTAATTTAATTGGGATGAAAATAATATAATTAATATTAAATTAAATATAAAAATCTGATTTTTGAAAAGTTAAACTTGATATGTGATTTATGAAAATGGAAATCTAAAGGTAGGACTAGCTGTAATTTCCTCTTTTTTCAATTGGTCGCAGCCCAACTTTTTATTTTTCACTCAACATCTTTAGTGCTGGAATTCCAATCATAGTTAAAATCATGTTTAAAAGCCCATCAATGCACTATTTATCTTCAAGGCCTCAATTCTTTTAAAATAATACAATTCAATCCTTGAGTCCCCGATTATTTTTACAATTCATGTCTTCTTTAATTTAAATCAAGTCCTTCAATTATCAAAGTGTGGAATTTGATCCCCCAACATCGCATCCAATAGCCAATTAATCATTCAAAGTGTGGAATTTGATCCCCCATCATCGCATCCAATAGCCAATTAATCATTCTTTCTTTTCCAATTGTTTTGTTCCTTGGGTGTTTGTTTCTTTCATTGTTGAGCGAAATTGATAAACCTTTCATAAGTTAGAGCCTTTCATTAGGACTCTTTAATAACCCCATTCTCTATGTTTTGAAAAGTTGAATGCTTTATTAAAGAGTTTACTAGGCTTTCTATAGTTACAATTTAAAATAAACAATATATATAATTATTCGAATGTAGAAAATCAAATTCATTCGCATTATAATAATTTTAATATCGTCATCGATTATTTCACAAAATCTCAAAATGAGTGAAAATACATTATAGTAAACCCTAATTGTTTATTAAAAAAATCAAAATAAAGATGTAATATACATATATTAATGGATTTATACAAAAAAAAAAAAAACTCTTGCTACATGTTTATGTTTGGATATGTTTCAATGTTTACATATTCTTTTGTAATGTTGGCCAATGGAAATGGTGGTGTGGTATACCGACTAGCGATAGAGAGACACATAACACATCGTAAGTACAAACAGTTCAGAGAAGGCAAATATTTAACAAATTGAAATTTCTGATTTTTTACCTAGCGGAGAAACAATTAATCGCGGACCGGAGAATAATGAGTTGATTTTGGAAACTTTTTCCTCTTTGAATTTTTCATTATTAATGTGTCGCCAAAGACATAATCTAGATGTTGAAAATTCTAGAATTTATATTAATTCAAAGTCAGAGATATCAATTTCACTGCAAGCAAGGTCAAGCTTGGGATAACTGCTCCTGAATATCTAATCTTTGTATTGTCAATATACTTGGAATAATAAATCACACGTCACTCATTTATAATATTATACGAATTTTAGATGTACATTTTAAATTGATATTTTTTTCTCTATATATTTAATTACTAAAGGTGGACATATTTTATGTCGTCAAATAGACAAGTCCGCCTTAAAAGTATAGCCATCCACAATAATTCAAAGATTAAACATTTGAAGTCAAATATAATGTCACAAACATGGCAGGTAAAATGCCACTATATTCTCAGCACCCTAAAATAACCTAGTTGGTAATGTTGAGAGCTCTAGAATTTGTTCAATTTTACTATGCATGTGGCTGAAATTGACTTAGGAAATGCCCTCGCATTGAGGGCGAGCCTGTTGAAGTGAACGAGGTTTGAGATAAGGCTACAATTGAATTAGGCGATGCCCTTGCATTAAAGACAAGCCTGTTGAACTGATTGAAGTCTGTGATAAGATTGAAATGCCCTTGTATTGATGCCCTTGAACTGATTGAAGTAATTGAAGCATGTTTGACGTCAACTCGTCAAGACTATAATTCAAGTCTTTTGACGGGTTTTAATATCACGTATTTATTTAAATTTTGTATTTAATCGACAAGATATTAGAAAAAAAATTATGTATTTATATATTTGTTTCCTACTTGAGTTAAAACACAAAAAGACTTTTACAATTGATGAAACATGAAAAAATTTAACAAGCACAAGATAGTAGAAACATTAGGGCGACGTACTACGTGTACGAACTATCGATTATACCCCTGTAATTACAGTAAAATCTCGTAGCATGATGGTGGCTCATTTGAGAGCATCAATTTAAAATTCGACTACTCTTTTGAGATCTAAACCGATCGATTGAATTGATACAAAAATAAGTCGTAGGCGTCTTAAATGCCAACCTTATTAAGAGGTATAATCCAAGTGCTTAACAAGTTGATTTTCGTTTTCATATTTAAGCAACTGGAGTTTTTGTTCGTAATAATAATTAAAGAAGTATTCAAACATAATAATCATGACCAAGGCGGCTTGCCAATTTTTTGAATTAATAAACTGGGAAATACCCAATCCACTTTTGCTCCACATCCTATAAATTTACTAGTGAAGACCCGATATTTTGCTCATTTCTAAAGATGTTTCATGCCAGTTGCAGATTCCATTTTCATAGTATAACCAGAACTGTTTCAAAAATGAGAAACCAAACTCTTAAATTTCATTTCCTCCTCTTCTTACTAATCACCATGTTTCTTTTCCATCCTACAAATTCAAAGTCTATTAATTTAAGAAGGGGTGCTTCTATATCTGTAGAAGGCGACACCATCATCACCTCCTCAGATAATTCATTTACCTGTGGCTTTTACGCATTGCCCGGTAGCAATGCCTACTGGTTTGCCATTTGGTTCACCAATTCTAAAGAAAAAACAGTTGTTTGGACAGCAAACCGGGACAGGCCAGTCAGCAGCCGGGGCTCAAGAGTTTCTATACGGGGAGATGGAACCATGGTCTTGACAGATGTTGATGGCAGCGTTAAATGGCAGACAAATACAACCAGTACTGATGTTGCTGCAGCTGAGCTTCTTAATACGGGAAACCTCGTTTTGAAGAATCTACGAGGCGATATTCTCTGGCAAAGTTTTGATGTTCCTACTGATACTCTTTTACCTTCTCAAACATTAACCAAGAACAAAAGATTGACATCATCATTAAGAAAAGGAAGTTTCGAACCAGGTTACTTCAATTTATATTTTGGTGCAGACAATGTTTTGACATTAATCTCTGATAACCCTGAAACATCAAGCATCTACTGGCCAGATCCTTATCATGATATATATACGAATGGAAGGACAAACTATAACAGTAGCAGAATAGCATTTTTAGATGATATGGGCATGTTTCGATCAAGTGATAAATTTCAAGCCAATGCTTCTGATAAAGGATTTGGGATAAAAAGAAGGTTAACAATAGACCAAGATGGAAATCTTAGAATCTATAGTTTGAGTAATTCAACAGGGCTATGGTTGATAACATGGCAAGCACTTTCACAACCTTGTCAAGTACATGGAGTGTGCGGAAGAAATGCGATCTGTGTTTATGCACCTATACCCAAGTGTATATGTACTCCTGGATTTGAAGTAAATAATCCAAGTGACTGGAGTGCTGGTTGTAAGCCTGCATTCAAAGAAACCCTCTCGAATTTGCAGGTAAAATTTGTGGAAGTTCCCCAGACAGATTACTTTGGGTTTGATATTGATTTCCAACCAGATTTTTCAATGGAGGCTTGCCGGGAACTCTGTTTAGGAGATTCCCGTTGCAAGGCATTTACCTACAGGACATGGGGAGATGGACATTGCTATGTAAAAAGTTCACTTTTTAATGGCTTTATGTCTCCAGATTTTCCTGGAAGTACATACATAAAATTACCCAGGAGTGTGAAAGTATCAGAACCATCATTTTTTCAGGGTTCCCGCAACACGTGTGAACACCGTGAAGCAGAAATTCTTGTAGGTTCTCTTTCTAAGTATGACTCCACCGGAAGAATGGTGAGATGGGTGTATATCTACACATTTTGCGGGGCCCTTGGGGCAATTGAACTAGTATTTATAGCATTAGGATGGTGGTTTCTATTCAGGAAGCGGGGTGTTCCAGCTTCGGTTGAAGCAGGGTATCGCATGATATCCAGCAATTTCACGAGGTTTAACTTCTGTGAACTTAAGAAAGCTACCAATAACTTCAGGGAAGAGCTAGGACGAGGAGGCTCTGGCATAGTTTATAAGGGTGTTTTGTCAGATGATAGGATGGTGGCAGTGAAGAGACTGGGAGATGTGTTTCAAGGTCAAGACCATTTCTGGGCGGAGATGAGAACCATAGGAAAGATCAATCATATAAATCTTGTGAGAATGTGGGGATTTTGTTCAGAAAGGAGACACCGACTCTTAGTATACGAATATGTCAGAAACATGTCGCTTGACAAACATATTTTCAACTCAAATTTTCTGGGATGGAAACAAAGATTTGCAGTGGCATTAGGTACAGCCAAAGGTTTGGCCTACCTCCACCATGAATGTCTTGAATGGGTTATCCATTGCGATGTGAAGCCAGAAAATATTCTTCTGGACAGCGAATTACAACCCAAGATTGCAGATTTTGGGCTTGCAAAGCTGTTCCAGAGAGATGGCCCTGCTTCAGAAATCTCAAAAATTCGAGGAACACAAGGCTATATGGCTCCAGAGTGGGCACTAAACCTTCCAATTACTGCAAAAGTCGACGTCTATGGGTATGGAGTTGTAGTCCTTGAGATGATAAAGGGAACTAGGCTCTCAAATTGGGCAGTAGGCGATACAGACGAGCACGAAATTCCCCTTAAAACTTTTGGCAGGACAGTGAAGGAAAAAGTTCAGTGTGGAAACTCCTCTTGGGTAGACAGCATAGTGGATCCAAGATTGGAAGGGAAGTTTAGCCGAAAACAGGCAGAAACATTGGTTAAAGTAGGTCTTTCTTGTGTAGAGGAAAACAGAAGCAAGCGCCCAACAATGGCTTCAGTAGTCCAGAATCTCATGGAATGCGAAGAATAAAGATGAAACAGAAACCCAAATCCCGACTGAGTGTGATTGCATTTCAGCTCCGATTGCTTGGTCTTTCAATTTTCTTTTCTCCAGATGTTTTCTTTTCTTCAAATGTAATTCGAATAGTTAGCTTTCGCAAATAAAGTTACTTATAGTTGGAATAATCTCCATTCTGCTTTATGTTTTAGCAAACCTCAAAAGATAAGAATAGTTCCCTTAATCACCAGGGCGGAGACACAAATATTATTCGGTAGGCGCATAATTTAATTAACTCCGAACTTTGAGTTTTTCGCCATTAATTTAATGATGATAAAAATATGAACAATATTACGACAATACTAAAAATGATATAATTTATAAATTACACTTGCTCCTTACAAGTTCTCATTCGTTGTACAATAACTTCATTATCAATTTTTATTTTTTTTGAATAACCATGGATGTCCGGACCAACTTGCGCACACCTCAACTAATTTCACGGGACCCTGAAGTTTAAGGCCGGATAGTTACCTCAATGGTCCTGAGTGGACTCGAATTAGAACTTCATTATCAATTTTTAAAAATATATATTTTTCTATATAAACAATTATGTTATCATTCATCTACTGATCATCCATCCAGTTGCGCAATCTATCATTTACAATACTCATTGTAGATTATACTGTGACAATAATTGTGCTATCATGGTTTTTAGGCTGACAAGACCCTTTATCATATATATTCTTCAAACTTGATCTCGGATATTAGTTCATCCCAAATTGGCATCCTTAGTCCAGATGAGTGGGGAATTATCTAACATCAAAATCTACTTTATTCGATATCTCTACATCAACATTTTCTACAATGGATGTCATTTCAAATAATGTCTTCATTTAATATCTAAAGAAAACGATAAATCATAGTGCACTTAGAAAAAAATACTCTACAGAACCAATTGTTAATGATTTTTGCACTTAATCAATCCGCCTTTCAAGTCAAAATCAAGCAAAATCTATTCTCAATTGGGTCAATTCTATGCACCCAAATCACTAAATCAACCTCCATACCATTACCATACATTCAAATCACACACACATATTAACAACTTTGCTCAAAGTGATTAAGTCAAACTTATTACCCTCGCAATTAAATCTCTGCTCAAATATTAAGAAAATAAATGCTCAAACAGAGGTAGAACAGATTTATTTTGCATAAAAATATATAGGGACCTTCAATTCAAGGATATAGACTCCATATTCAGGGACCAGGCTCGAGAGCGTCGAGTGGAGAGTTTGAGATTGAGAAGCTAAGAGAAAGTAGATCCGGGAATTTCGTGGTTTCAGTTTCAGCACATACAGGTATAGTTAGTTTTTGGGTTGGATCAATTTCTGTTTCAATTTTTTTTCCCTTTGGGTTGGATAGGTGGAAATTCCAATATGCTACTACTTAAAAAAAAGGAAAATTACAAAAAATCAGGTGTTTAAAAATTGATTTTTAAAAATCAGGTTTACAATTTATTTATTAAAAAATCAGGTACTATATTAAAACCCTAATTCATAACCTAATTTATCTCTCATTCCTTCC